CACACAAAAAGCCGATTGCGCCATGGCGGCACACGATACAAATAAGTTCACGATAACGTTTAATAAATCGCTCTGTATTCATATCAGGCTTAAGTGTCCCGCTCCGTTGATTTTGTGAAACAAAGGACTTAAACCGTTTCTTTTGTATTTCGCTTTGAACAATAGAAAGCAAAGAACGCCGACCAGGTTTTTGCATAGGTTATTTCTTGAAGAAAAAGCAGAAATTGGTAAAAAAAAAAGTACAGAATAGTATGATTTTTATCAATCTTAGTCCACATGCAACATATTGGGAAAATCGGACCAAAATAAAAAAACGACCAAAAATTTCACTAAGGCCTTTCTTGCAGATATTATCTGAAGAGTGCAAGTGTACACCATTGTGTAGTACAAAACCTTGTAGTAATAAAATGCCTAGTCAAAAAAATCTTCAGTTGATAAAACATTGTACTTTGGAACTGGCATTCTCGCTCTAGTCCTTGAACACTTGAACAGCTAACAGCAGTTCTACATCAAGATCAGCTGATATCAAGTTAACTTTTTTACATATTTGTATTGCAAATATTTGATACATATTCTTATTTTTTGGTTAGCAACAGATGGAGAGCCTCAATGTGGAAACTCTAGCTGTTATTAAACTGTTTACTTACTTAATACAGACTCTACTTACTTACTTACTTGGCCCACAGTTTCTGAGTTATTTGCTGAAACGTTTCACGCATCTTTGTAGAGCTTTGTATGGAGACACCATATTGGTGCACAGTTTTGGTGCGCCAATATGGCCGCCGAAAATCAACAAAAACATCTGGAGTTCACTTTTTCTATAAAAGCTCCTTCTTTTCACTCGAGAACTAGCCGACGTGCGCATAGACATATCTTCTAATACTTGAAATGGTTGTACTGGTGAAAATCAAGAGGAGAGACTTTTTTTCAACGAGACAGCATTCCTATTTTGGTGTCACACACTCTCAAAACTCGGAAGTTCAAATTGCTGTATTTTCGAAATGAAACATGCTACGGGACTGAAAACTTGTACAAAGATTAACTTTTTGTTTATCTTCAACCTAGTGTAAATAAGAATTCGTAAAACCTCGCTATTTTGACTTTACAATTTGATGACGTCACTGTGAAAGCCATCTATATATACTGAAAGGTTTCAGTCGGCTTAAAGTGGTTTTGATGTCCAAGATGGATTTCTCTGTGAATTGCTCACCTTTCAAAACTATTGTATCAAGGAAAGTTATTTCGTTCTCAGATATTTCGGCTGTGAACATTTGGCCCATAAAGCTCTCTAGCTTGAAATCTGAAGTAGACAAGCTTAAAGTTGAAGTACTGTTTTGGTATCCATGGATTAAGGCCTTTTTGATAAGAGTGGTAGGCGACTTTCTCCTGGAAAATCTATTCACCATGACTTTAATTCTGTTACTATAAACAAGATTAATGAACGTGGTCACAATGTTTCATTATTAATGCCCCAAGTTGATGAAAAGCTTAATGAGTTACATAGCACATTCAACAGTCTGAAACAGTCTGAAGTTGCTATAAAGGCCTACATTTCTGGTTCACTACCAACTCAGCTGAGCTCCAGGCCTCGTCTGATATTGAGAGCATCAGTGACCACCTCAGCTGAGCTCCAGGCCTCGTCTGATATTGAGAGCATCAGTGACCACCTCAGCTGAGCTCCAGGCCTATCTGATATTGAGAGCATCAGTGACCACCTCAGCTGAGCCCCAGGCCTCGTCTGATATTGAGAGCATCAGTGACCACCTCAGCTGAGCCCCAGGCCTCGTCTGATATTGAGAGCATCAGTGACCACCTCAGCTTAGCCCCAGGCCTCGTCTGATATTGAGAGCATCAGTGACCACCTCAGCTGAGCCCCAGGCCTCGTCTGATATTGAGAGCATCAGTGACCACCTCAGCTGAGCCCCAGGCCTCGTCTGATATTGAGAGCATCAGTGACTTTGACTCTGATCACTGACTGACACTGAGCTGTGACAATGACATTTAATAACCAGTTTGCATCAAAGAAGTTATTTTTCTTTTATTATTAAACAGTATCTTTAATTATTCTATTAACTGACATTTATTCACCCCTGATCATGAGCCACCCGTAACTACCCGCGTGGATCAACATCCCTTCTACCGCTTGTGACATCAGTTTTAATGGGAAAATTTGTTTTTTGTTCGCTAACATGTGCAGAGTGAAGCTGGGATCTTTCAAACCATACCAGAATGAGCACAATTCAGTCAAGGACAACAGAGAAAAGGGCAAAACATCATGTGATGTTGACCCGAAAATTGCCATGAAAATCTTGTTCCACTACCCGCCTAACTTTCCTTTTATCTAATCCTAAGATCCTAAAACCTTTCCTATAAACTTTTCCCACCAAAATAAAGCCTTAAACTAAATGCCCAGCAAAAGAAAAAAAACTGAGGTAAGAAAAGTGAAAAAAGAGGGAGGACAGTAAAGAGCGAAGAGTAAAAGTAGACTGATTGCGAGGCCTGCTGTGACACTTTTGAACCCAAAAACTCAAATTTTGCTTTCTGCACATGCCCGAACTTCGCAAGCTAGTGTTTTTCATCTGGATCAGAAGGCCCCAAAGTGTCGTACGACCTGTAAATGACTTTGTGGCAAGTTGTAGCTCTTAATAGCCCAACAGTGACCAGAAAACCGCTCCACTACAGCTGTAGCTTCAAAACGCATTTTTCGGTAAAATCTCCAGGGGCGAATGGGTTAAAAAATATGTCTTTTTGTTGTGTCAATTAAGTTTAAAGGTGTCTGCTGATTTTTGTCAGTAGGATCATTGAGTTAAATACCAATTTAGTTTCCTGTTCCTGGTACATTACTGATCTACATGTAGTACTTTTATATATGTGCATGCACAGTAACACAGATTGTGTATTCACAGAATATATAAATTATTGATACACACCAGGCCACCTGTACATTATAGAGATTATAGTGTACCATGCATTATGAACCAGAATTTCCGTTTAATTAATTAATTGATTGCGTCCTAGGAATAATTAGGGCTTAAGCTGGAAAAAGAAAGAAATTGAGGTTGTGTGCCAAGAAAAATTGAAGGGGTCAACTAGTTCTCTGAATCTGTGAAATCCACAATGACAAAACTAAGATTAATTCTGTGGCCCTGAGCAAGAGTTAAGTGCAGGAGTTGCAGGGGCCATGGTGCACTGCTAGAGTACTGCCTTGGAAATATTACTGTAGTGAATCTATAGTCATGTACAGTTTAATTTGTATAGAAATATTGGGTTTTTTTTAATAATAATTACCTTTAATTAGAAAAGATTATGTTTTATTTGTTGTAAATTGTTACATATAATAATTATTTTTCCCTTTCAATTTTTTATCAGTGAATGTAAACCAGACAATCGAAATTGTAGCCAAAAGGATGAATGCAGACTATGAGCCAGCCCTGTTTAAAGATGGCAATAAGATCTTGGCACTGCTCAAGAACAACAAGACAATATATGTAAACACCGAAAATAAAAAAGACAAACAAAAGAACAAGAAGCATTTCCAAATGCTTTTCACAAATGCAAGCTATTTCCAGATAATATTTAAAGAAGGATCGGCTTATATTCAAGGACATTATGTAGTCCGGTATTACATGAATGGTAGAATGCCGCCAGAGGATCCAGAGCCTCTGTCATTTAGCATAGGTAAGTGAGTTTCAGTATAAATATAATTTGAATAAGAAACCGAGGTTTAATAATAATTAAGTCGCATAAAATATTGGCGAAACATTTCTTTGTATATCTTGTATATGAAATGGGGGTTTAATAATAATTAAGTCGCATAAAATATTGGCAAAACATTTCTTCAGATATCTTGTATACAAAATATTCCTCTGACCTGAATCTTGGCGAGGTTCTTTGCATATTAAATTTTACCTCCTTTCATTTCCCAGATTCTGGACTTTATAATTGAGCGGTTTTGATTTTTATTTTGATCTATTTTGAATTGTGTGACACTGAAAACCAGCAATACCTACAGTTGGTTTTGACCTGTAACAATTTTATATGCACCTCATACCTACCCTGGGTACTAGAGACTTTTCTAGCGCGGTTTGCAGTTTCTGTCAAGTCTTTATAGTGACCCACTCGTGGCTTCTGCCTATACAGCCGAAGATGTGTCTTGGCCAACACCGAAAATTCCCTCCGCACGCAAGAAAAACCTCTGGTACCCAGGGTCACCTCACATCTAAAACAGGTATCTCAATTTACTATTATTTGAATTTCTTGTCATCTTTTTATTTCAATATTTTTCTTAGGGATAGAAATAGAAGCACAGCTTACATGTTCATGTACACTAACACAACAGCTGTACTTCATGTAACTACTATAAATATTATCAAAAATATTCATTAATTACATTGTACCCAAGCATGCCATTAGGTAATGTTGTGAAAACTGTGATGTCCTACTCAAATAAAGTCACTAGTCTACAACTGTCCCAACAAAGAATGCAATATTATGACAACAATTTTACCCCTCATTGGCCCCACCTCCCATGCCACCCCATTAATGGCAAAGCGGTAGCCTGTTCACAGACCTCCATTTACTCTTAAAAGTCCGCTGAGCACCCATGATAAAAATAAAAACAGTGCGCGTTTAAATAACCGCTAGCCCAGGGGGGCGGGGAGAAGAATATTTTAGTTTCTCTCCATGTAAGGGAATCTGGATTCCGGAATCTTGGAAATTTTTGCTTGTGGTATCCGGAATCCTGGGCTTTGGAATCCGAAATACAGCTATAGGAACCCCGGAATCCCACTATTAACAACTGGAATGCAGAATCGAAGTTTCAGCGAAAAAAGGTGTACAATCTAGTAATTGGAATCCTGAATCAACGGTGTGGAATCCAGAATCCAAGACTGTCTTGGATTCCCTTACATGGGGCAAATTTCTTTCTCGTGTACTCGCCAATTATTGAAAAGAAAAAATAAAACAACATCTGTGTACATACAGGCTAGCAAAGATAAGCCAAGTCCTAGCACGACAACCCTTACTCTAGATAGCAAATCCATAATATCAAAGCCCTTCCAGCTGTGTTCCTTACACTCTGTTGCCAAAAAGGCCATCTTTTCCTTACTCCCTTCCTCTAGAAGTTAATGGGACATTCAAACGACTCTTCAAATCGGGAAGCCCTATTAGTAAGTAGCCACGTGCCCTTTAGCTTGTCACGCTATCCATTGTGTACTTAAAAGCTATGCTGCACCTCAGGTCTTTTAATTTTTCAAATACTGCACTCCAAAAAAAAAAATTATTCAAACTGCTTCTGTTTACATTGGAAATGAAATCTTGAATTATAACTCAGTTTATGGCTGTAGAAAGTCGTTTACAAACCACTTAAATGGACAGTCTACCGACACGCTACGACTTCATACGACATTTGCTGATAAGAAGACATATTTTAATATTTTTAGCAGCACTCCATGTGACTGAAAGGAAATGAAGAGATTTAATTATTACAGCACCACATTAAATGTTTCATTTTTATTGACGACTGTGACTTATAATGCTCAATTATAAGGTACTGTCTTTCCCCCCCAAAAAGGAAGAATGTTTTTTGGGGGGACTTCCAAGTCATTAATACCCACTTAGCATGCTCCTGGAGGTTTTATAGACGTACCAGTTCATTTTCTAAAGCTATAGTGTTATATATTTTTTACTTTGCCCCTCACTGTTACCCCAGCCTGTACATCACCTCCATCTCCCCACCCCTCCTTGGCAAAGAAGCTGAGTCTTAAGCACTCTAAAACCCTTGATACATAATATTGATTATTTAATAGCTGATCCATTAAATTGTGTGCAGTAGTGCATGTGGCAATCATCTTCCATTATTTTATGAAATGACTGCATATATTAAGTACATTGTCGTCCTTTCATATTTTAATATTTTTAATAATAATAATAATACTGAATAATGATAATATTAAAAATAATAGTAATACTTTATTAAATGGGGCCGGTAACATCCTTACCAATACCGATGACTCAGTAGTTTACATAAATGGCCTAGTTCCCTAAGTTAGTCTAAACTAAAAGTCTAAAACTAGAATAATTATTAATAAAATAATTAATAAGTATACTTAATATTAAAATGTTCAGTTTTAGTTCAAGTTTTCCAATGTAATTTTCCTTTGGAAGTGAAAGCATGTCTCAAAGAGATGGTTTAGTTTTGTTCCACAGACAAGTGGCACTGGAATAGAATGTTCTGAGGCCTGAACTTTTCTTGCAGTTAGGCATGATAGGATCATTATTTTCTTCTAGAGGTTCTTGTGTCGTAATTATGTTATAGCTACTCTTGACATAGTTAACATAGGACAAAAGATATTCTGGACCACAGCCATTACAGATTTTGTGGAGGAGAGATAGTTTTCTTGTACAAATAATATCGTCAGTTGTTGGAAGCCAACCTAATTTAGTAAACAACATTACCGAATTATCCTGAAAATTAGCATCTAGTATAATTCTGGCGCACTGGGTTTCTGTAATCATAACAATCTGTCCAACTGTTCCTCAACTGGAAAAGTTGTCCCATACAGTACAACAGTACTATTCACGAATTGGTTTTATGAGGGAATTATACAAATTCCAAGTGAGATATTTGTTGATCCTAATTCTAAGGAGCTTTTCCCCTATTGCCTCCTCTAGCTTAATGTTGTTCAAGAATATACTCATGCATATCAAGGTTGTTGGCAATATTCTTGTTTCTTCCACAGAGATTATAAATATCACTGAAGCAAATTCAACCCAAGGCACTGAGCATTCCTTATCCCTTCGTACGGGAGTGCCCTCTCCAAGCATACCCCTCACAACTAAAACAGGTATCTCAGTTTAGTATTATAATTTGAATTTCTTTTGTCATCTTTTTATTTCAATATTTTGCTCAGGGACTGTATTTGTATTTGTATTTGTTCATCTACACTGACAAAACAGCTGTTTCTTCTTGTAACTACTAAATAGTTAAAGTTTATTAATTGTTATGCCCAAGCAGTGCCATTGGGTCATCGGTAATGTTGTGAAAACTGTGATGTGCTACCCTCTCTAAATTAAAGTAAGTCACTCTAAGTCTACGACTGCCACAACAAAGAATACAATGACACCAGTTTTAATACATGTAATGTTATTTTACTCTTCTGTTTCTCTGTTACCCCACTTTGCCCCGCCCACTTCCCCACTGCATGCAGCAAAGCAGTTAAGTCCTAGCACTACACCCCTTACACATAATGATAAGCTGATCCATAATGTGTGTCATATTTCATTTTTGGAGTGACTACATAATGCATGCATCCCTTTCATACTCTTCACTGGCACTTTTGTTTATTCCACAGAAATCAATACTACTGCAGAAGCAAATATCATTTCTACCCAAGGCATGAATGAAGAGCATCCCCAACACTTTCATACGGGATTGTCCTCTTCAAACACACCCCTCACACCTAAGACAGGTATCTCATGTAGTATTTGAATTTTTAGTCATCTTTTTAGTTCAACATTTTCCCCCAGGTATGTATAAAAAATAAGCACAGCATTTACAGCTGTTGATTAATTCAATTTAAATTGCAGGGTTGCATGTAACTTTGTCATCGGCACCAATGGCATTGTTGCTTATCTTTCAGGTCCACAGGCAAGAAAAACTGTACCTGTACCTTGGGAAATCTTTTTAGCGGTGGCTGTATACGCAATTGTATTGGTTGTAATTCGTTTATCAGTTACCCTGATAAGAAGATTCTGAGTAAATATTTTCAGGATGCGTGCATCCTTCGTTGATTGACCACCCAAGGGGCGAGTTGCATTAACAAATTGTAAACATTCTAATATCTGAGTCAGTATATTAGATATCAAAGTCGTGACTTTCCTCTCTAGACAAGTTCATTCAATTTTTTAATGTTATGAACAGTTTCAATGTGTCATGTTATGAACAGTTTCAAATTGAAGCATTTTGGCTTTCCAATGAAATATCTATTTCCTTAAATTTTTATATATACATACATAGGTAGTAACTTGGAATTTGCCAATACTTGACGTGCAAATATTAACAGCATGCTCATGGAGTGCCTCCGAGCGTTAACGTACACTTTTACTTCTTCGAAAGTCTAGACTTCTATTTTAAAAGCCTTTGTAGCCTGTTAATTTGACATGGTTCAAGTAACAGCTTTTATGAAAACAAACGAACAAAACAATTAGTAAACGCCAACAACAAGAGAAACTGCATGAAGCAAAAGAACAATGGATCTCGACCCCTGACGGCGTTTTACTGACACCCCCCCAGCCCCGCCCCCCCCCCAAAAAAAAACAAAAACAAAAACAAAAGAAAGCGGAAACAAAAAAAAAAACAAAGAAACAAAACAAAGCACGACCATGGAGCACCTGCTTACAAGAGGCAATTTTTTTTGCATGCAACTTGTCTCGTAATTTTGCTACCTGTTGAGAAGTGTGGAGAAATTATTTAAAAAAGCAACAACAACAACAACAAAAAAAGAAAACAGATAAACTTATTTAAACCAAAACGGAACGCAACCAATTCAATAATTTACTGAAATGCCGTTTGTTCAGAGTTATACCCAATTCTGGGACTTACTGGCAACCCACCGAATTCAATGACCTTACCTCGTAGGGGGTATAGGCATTTCCGTACGGTGTTAATAGCTATAACACAACTTAAGGGTGGATTCATTTGCAACATACGCGTATAGCTGTCGCATTTGCACTTTGGGATTTCTTACTGCTTAATTTTGGGGCTCACGGACTTAACGTTAAATCCGTGAGCCCCAAAATTATACATTACAAATTGTTTAGCGGAGGATTATAGTCATATCCTGCACGCATATTTTGTGGGTGTTTTTTGCTTTTCACACCCTAATAGGAACGTGATTTTGTCCTAATCATTAGGTATAAAGTTAGTTCCTTAGCTCTATGTTGTTTTAGTAAAATCCAAGTGGTCTATTATCAATGCTGTGTTCTGATTGGTTGAACTACTACTAGGCTATATATTATAGCCCACTGGAAGCGAAAAGCGCGGGCTTTTTGGCGGCAAAAAGGGATTAAAATCTAGCTTTAACTAGCTAAAAATTTTTTTCCTGGATATTTTTTACCAATTAGGTGGATTTTACTAAAACGATTATTCCTCTTGCCCTCATGTCCTCTGAGTCAATAGCCCATTCGGCCCATTCGAGCTCATCCGGGCTCGAGGAATAATTGTTACATATTCCCTGATGAAGTCTGTGTGATCAGACGAAACCTGTCGGAGAAATAAATCAAGTGAACAAGATCCTCGCGTTGCTTTGTGCTGCTCACTAGTTTTCATTAAAAAAAATTTAAAGATTACAACATTTTTGAGCGCAGTTCCTTAAAAACTGCACCCATTCTTAAGTTACAAGTAATATAGTCGTGCAAAAATATCAAACTTTTCTGTACCCTTAATACAGCAATACCAAAGAGAATACAAGAGATCCAAAGATGGGATAATCTTTAGATTATTCTCTCTTAATTAAGTAATAGCAAAATAGTTGTAATGATTACTATATAATTGAAAGGGTTTAGAAACGAATTATGTGTACACGCTGTATGAGTGAGATACATATTTTAGTTATTACATAATTTGTACCAGTCTCTGGTGTGTTGAATTTATTTTTGCGCTTCTTAGTGGACACGTGTCTGCCGCGGAGTTCACCAGATTCTAGTTCTAAAATAATGTTGTCTTAAAAAGTGTTGTTATAATTGGAGACTTAAAGAAAAAAGGGCAAAAAACCACTCCATCTCGTAGACAGGGCAAAAATACTGCCACAAAAATTGTGTCTGAGTGATAGCCCTGTGTTAACAGCCACTGAAAAGGACGAAAAGAAGTGGCCCTGGCTTAAAGTCGTTTCGAGAAATACGATCAAAAAAACCTAGCCGCACCAAGAAGACTGCCAATTCGATAACGAGGTCACGTGATTATCCTCGAAAACGTCAAATCCTATGATAATTTCATCATAGAATGCACCGTTCATCAGAGATTTTATGTAATTGGATTGTACTGGTGTGCTCAGTCTCCAGCCGTCAGGGTGTCTCGATCTGCCTTCGTTGCTTAGGAGTACCGCGGGTGCATCAAGACACCCAAGGCTACAAACACAACCTCGTTTCCAAGGCTTTTTCCCTTAGAAAATAAGAGGGGTGGGAAAGGCCCTGCCATCGACTGGTCGATTCTTCTTTGCGATTGTCGTTTTCCCACCACCCTTCCCATTTTCTAAGGGGCAAAACCCTGGGAACGAAATAGCTGGAAACTGACCCTATTACAGTGAAACCTCTATTAAGCGGACACCTTCAGGACCTTCCTAAGTGTCCCCTTAATAGAGAGTGTCCGCCTAATTGGGGTTTGTAAAAATTGCGCAATGTTTGTTAACGATTAACATATAACGGTTACTCTGTACTGTGATAGAGGTCCATGTTGGGAAGCTAAGGAAGCTAAGGAAGCTGTGCTGTACTTTGTGCAAGACTTTTAGGACATCTTTTTGGTGAACTTTGATCGCGGATGACAATCGTTAATTATAAACGGCCGGATATCGGTCTAATCTACAGTTTATTGACAGCTAAATGTATTGATTTATCTTTATTATAAATCGACTACAGTACGTATTTTAAGGACGTAATCCAGTACTTAACTATTGTCAATTCAGTCCAGTGTCCGCTTAATAGAGGTTTTTAACAAAATAAATAAGCCAAATACAATTGTGTCTGCGTCCGTTTAACAGAGGTGTCCGCTGAATACGGGTTCATTATAAAGTGAAATATAAGACTTGAATTTGGGGACCCGGCTTAGTGTCCGCTTCAGTACAGGTTTCAGTGTATACTGAAATACAGGTTGGTCCGTTTGTAAATTGAATGCCTTACAATTAAAGGTTCAACGAATGAAACTCAGAGAGAAATGAATATTGTTAAATATACAATTTTATAACAAATTCAACTCAACTGGAATTTTTTCAGTTGAAATTCAGGCTTTCAAAGTTATCAGGTTTGTAATTAAAATTACCACACACATGTGTTCTTATTATTTTGACGCATGAAATTAGGGAATAGTTTCACTTGCGTTTTGTCCAACTTCTTAAAAATTATCATAATTTGGACAAAACGCAAGTGAAATTATTCCCCACTTTCAAGAGTATACCGTTTGATTAACTTTTGATTATTTTTGACTTGGTTATCGTATCGAGAACTCCACGCACTGAAAAGTGTAGAGCATACATTGTGCCTTAATTATAAGTTGTCAATTTTCTGAATTTTTTTTGACAAAATACTTGGTATGCTCTTTGGTGTGTTACGGTTTCCGAAAGCGTCTTTTAATGCCATTTTAAAACTTCAACGCCATTTGGACCTTTCTTCCCACCCCCACCGTCTGAATATTTAACAACCTGGACAAATTAGAGTCCAACATTGTTAACTTTGTTGCACGTTGTTGTACCGGCGTTGTTATTGCTGTTTATGTTTTCGCTCACTTCTTTGGATTTAGCCAGTCCTTATAAATATCAAATATTCTAGATTATTTTCAAAGCCATGGCCAATTTTAGAGTTCGTGCGCATGCGTTGAATTCTATCTTCAACTTTTAGAAAACGGCATACGTTCCCTTCCTTCTTTCTCTCCTAGAAAAGAGTAGACAGGAGGTAGAAGAAATATTTCATTTGTTATTTTTAACACTTTTTGTTTCTCACATATCTTACAATAAGACTAGGCAGCAGAAATGATATTTTTCAAACGATCCAGCCTATTTTGAAAACATGAATCTATAGTTTTAAATAAATATGTAAACATATTGTATTATTCAAATACATTATTTTATATCTCTTCTAGATAATTTAGTACATATTAATTCACTTGAGGCTTATAATTCTCTTTCATGCACAGGAACATCCTGTCGTGATCATCACCTTTCTTTCATTACGAGAAACCTCTGTAGACTTGGCAATGCAGAGTGGATAATTGGTTCTCGTAATGCTATCTAGGCAACTGAAACTTAAAGGCCGCTCCTTACATTGAAACTCTTTCAAATTATATGTTGGGCAATAAAGGATTCTTTCCACACATGGCAGAGTTGACGGAAAATTCGAAATCTCGACTAATCGTGACGGGCACAGTTGCGCCAAGGTAGTGACCTGTCTCTTTTCTCGACTTGGCTTTGTCTCATTCAACGTTTGGCTTGGCTTTTGTTCTCCCTCCTTGAACCACTGCTCATTGCTATTTAGGACGTCCTGTGACTGGTAAGGCTTACTCAAGACTTCTGTTTGAAGTAGGCCAACAAAAACGACGAATAATAACTGTCATGATCAAAACAAAACAAACATGATGTGGAGTTGAAATTAATTCTGAACAAGATAAAATCTTAATCGCCTTATACGCTTAAGTTTTAATTTCCTAATATCTGTACCTTGAGTTCTCTGCCCACAGTAACATCAATTTAGCCGTTTGTTAAGAATTTGACGCCTTTCTGTTGGTATGGAAAATTTGTCTCTGTTTTAACTTAAACGACAAGTCCCTTTCAACTGAGTTGACAGGGGAACAAAAACACTCCAATGGCAAGACGTCTCTTTCGTTGGTTTTGTGGAAGGAGTTTCAAGATTTTTCCTCTTTTTTAAAAAACAAATTTATGTCGTCCCATTGAACCTACGAATTTTTCGTGTGAGGAGCTTGGACTGTTTTCATCTGTAACTGTTGTGGACATAGAGACATAGAGACACAGCCTTAAGAATTATGTTGTTTTT